CCTACCTACCTAACTTATCTACTTAGCCATCAGCAATAGGTTGTCGGTACTCGAAGTGAAAACATAGTTTCTTTGTATGGTAAATTTTACAGCCACTTAGGGGACACTAGCAAAGTGTGCCAAAATCCGCCCCTAAGGCTACCCACTGACCGCCATATTATCTACAATTTTTATCGTTGTAGGTACTCGAGTATCGTCAAATAGGTACCTATTATTGCTTTAAGCTCACACTAGAGGAAATGTATCTAGGTATCTATTCATCATTACTAGATACTAGATAGAGGACTGCAACAAAGCTGATGACAAGGATTTGTCTAAGAAGTTATCTAACACCCAATGTAGAAGCGTTAGTAATATACCGAGCATGTCTCTTAAATCCTGAAACGGATGCATTTGGACGGCCACAATAACTGGCGATGGCGTACCTACCTATCCTCTTCGCTTCATCTACTGGTTTATATCCATCTCTTCGATTGAGGTCGCTATAACGTTTCCCATTTAGAAATACATTCCTTCTTTCACATTCCTACACATTTTTATAATATTTTTTAAGTAGCGCACCTACTACTTACGCGATTCCGTAACAGTGTGAGATATAAATACTTAATAAAAGGCATTACTACATTACTACCTACAGCTTTTTCCCTAATGTGCGTCGTAAGTGCGTTTAATGGGCTAAACATTGGAACCATATAGAGAACCAGAGCAGCACTCTTCAACAGCAAGCTTTGTTCTTAGCTACTGTGGTGATTGTGTCAAACCCTAAACAAGGTCCCATAAAATCTTATAGGCGTTCCCTCTACATATTTCATAGATAAGTTTGTACCCCATTGGAGTATGGATATGGAAGCCCGCATTGTCCAGTTATGCACTGTCATGTGCACTCCAAGTGTTGATGATGATGTAGCATTAAAATAGAACTGCTTCATTTACAGTACGTTCAGGTTTTCATCCAAACTGCGGAATTCCAGCTGTGCGCGTAAATCCAGTGACAATAACATCAACTAGGTCTTGTAAGTAGCTTTCTAATTTTCTAAGTACTTGCCTATCTATATTCTATTCCCTAATGCAATACCTACTTACTGTACGTTTAAACAACGGAGAAATTGATTCGCTACACTAGAAAGTTGGTATGTAGCTACCTACCTACCTACAAATACCGACACTGCAAGTCTAAGGATCGGTTACACAATGTCTGGGTAGCCACTATGTACCAGATACCTAAATTGCTTTAGGTATACTTAGACCAATATTTGTATGAACCATGCGCCACATAAGTTTCCTGGGAAATTGAATTAAGGCATAGAGACATATATATTACTAATTAAGGAGTCAAAACAAGGCGCTTAGTTTCAGTGCCGGATTAGCCACGTAGCAAGAGTAGCAAATGCTACGGGCCCCGCGTATTGGAGGGCCCCGCGCTAAAATAGGTATTTCATAATTACACCACTTCAACAGCAAGACATATGTAGAAAATGTTGATGATGTTGTTTACAAAACTACTACCAAACTGCAAGTAACTTGATTTTTTTCTTAACGAAATAAGACAAATAGTCGGTATTTTGTATGTGTAAGAAAAGGAAAGCGAGTATTTGTCCGCTCGGTTGGTGCCATTGGCGGGCGAACCGAGCCGACGCGAACTGCGCGCACGGCTATTTCCGCCTCAGCTCTAGGTATAACATCTGTCACGAAAAACGTTGGTATCAAAATGAACAACAATAAATTGAGCGCTAGCCACACACAAGTTATGTGTTGTACTACTTGCACTGCACTAAACACAAGTCGGCAACACTTCAAAACCATTAGGGGAATTTCCTGATATTGTCATCGATCGAGCTAGCCGTAACTCGAACAAATAAATTAGGAATTCTATTGACTATCAAACAATAAGAAATTGATATACACTTTCCTTTGACTCAATATTCAAAAACTACTAAGCACTTTAAATGTGAACTATTTGTGAGAAAAGTTGTCTTGACATTGCTTCAAGTACTGTTTTTGTGATTGACGTAGCGCTGTGTGCAATTCATTCAATTATCTTTTTACCGACTTCAAAAAAAGAGGGGATACTATGTTCGACTGATTGTTTTTATTTTGTATATTCACGGATTACTCCGCCATTTATAAACCAATTTCCAAAATTCTTGTTTTGTTTGAAAGGTTATACTCCCAAGAGGGTCCCATTTTCATGAGGTCGGGATCTGATGATGGAATCCTAGGGAAACCGAGGGGAACTTTCGAAAATTGTTGGGTCGAGTAGTGCTACAACTTGCCGATAGTCGAACTTGACCTGATGATGGAGCCGGAAGACAGTTGAAGGATCTCCTTGATTATTTGAAGTAGTTATCTTGTGTTTGGGCTTGAATTATTCTTATTGGTGAGCACTTTGCACCAAGATTGGTCGTGACTGCCATTAGGGGTCTGACGATGAGAACGAAGGACAGCTTAGGGAACTCCTGAACGGTTCACAGTAACCACCTCGTGTTTGGACTTAATTCATTTATATCGATGAAAACTTCGCACCTATATGGGTTACAATTGAGTTATGGAGTAAATCTGATGATGGAGCAGGAAGACTGTCGTAAGATCTCTTTGACTATTTGGAGTAATTATGTTGTGCTTGGATTTAATTCATTTATATTGATGAGAACTTTGCACCTATACGGATTACGTAAGTATATTGAAGGTCTGCAGTATAAATGATGATGGAGACCATTGACAGTCGAGGGAATTCCTCAGCGATTTACAGCACTGAACAGTGACTAACTCAGGACTACTACTATTATCGTGATTTTCGGTCTCAAGTAGACGTCGTCTTCTCATTCGAAAACCATCATCCTTGCTTGCTCTGCCAATTGAATCATCCAAGTCATACCAAACAGCAACAGTATTAGAAAAATATTGATCGGTGCCCCCTAATCATCAAACTAACAATAGCTATATAGGTCAAGATTACACTATTTTTGTTTTGCTTAGCACAGAATTCAAAATTATAAAATGGTTATTAATATTATTTTCTATTTAACTAAGTGAAAACATGTATTAATTTCTACAAAGAAAAATTATTTTTTGCTTTTTAGCTTACTTTTTAAAGTCGGAATATATTTGTTAAAAATTATTTATTTCAAAATCGTCTGAGCAAGACCTTAATACGGGATACGCCCTTTATGAATCATTATATGGCTACGTCCATGCAATGCGATCCTAATTTTCAGATATTAGAGGCAAGAGCCAAAGATTTGACTAACTGTGAAGAATACCAGCAACAGACATCACGACGAATCAAGCGAAATACAAAGTACGACCATTTTAGCAGCTCTAATACACTCGACGACTATGTTGAAAATCAAACACCTGGACAACGTTTCGAATTTGAGGTGTTTGTTGTCATAATTGATAACGTACTGTCTGATATAACAAAACGTATAAAACCATATCATAAAATTACTAGTGTTTTTGAAGTATTTCGACTGATAAAATCTCTTGCAACAGAAGAGATTTTAGGGCCCCTTGACAGAATTTGCTACAGGCCCCGCGCTGGCTTAATCCGGCACTGCTTAGTTTTCTACGGAACATGTTATGACCACTATTTTCCTTTTTGTTAACATTTTTTACTTTCAATTTTTTATGAAATTATATAGGTACAGCTATTTCCAGAACGTCAGACAAGTTGTTTTCATAGTAAGTAATTAAAGAGAAGTGTTAGGAATGAAGTTTTCCGATTTTCGAAATTCTCAATTGATTGCCTTACCTTTCTGCATGTGGTCTGCAATAGCCTCTAACAGCCTCTTACTATTAAAACTACAATCTTAAAAGCAGCGAAAAATTGGTGTTCAAACTGCGCCGCAGTAAATTAGGTAGTACTTAGCTAGGTGAAGAGAATAAAATTGAATATTATAATTGATAGTTTTTCGTTGTCAACACAGACCGCTGCGATGCGCATATGAATGAACTGCCGGTACCATGCTTACCTTGGGAACCGTGGTACAGCGACAAACAAAGCCTGTATAATAAAATCCTACTGGGCGGCATATTATGGTATGTATCTAATACTTATATATTTCCACAAATTCAGCTTAGGTAAGTACTTAGCCTTGAAGTGAGATAGAGCATTCTCTGATAAACAAACTGCGATTTCCAACTCGTTCGTTAAGCGAGAACAATATAGCAAACACCCAAGAAGTTTTTATAGAACTTTCCTATTTTTATACAAGTACAGAAAGCTTATGATCCAATGATTGGACTCTTGCGACTCATTGATGATGAAATTCACTCCACTCAACAAAAGAATTGATTGAACTTAATCAATTTTCAACTTTTTTTTTTTTTGATGAGTGGCGTACCAGCTTATGGATCACCTGTTGTTAAGCAATCGGCCCAACCCTGGATCTCCTGATGAACAAGCGGAGTTTCAATTGTCTATAGGTTGTTACGGATTCAAGGATATTTGAATTGAGCGAAATACAACGTAAGTGTCTTCACTGCGGTATTTTTGTACAGGTGGCTCTTTTCTTTGGGAATGATGATATACACCGACAGCATCTACTTGAACTGGGCTCCGCCGAAGCAGCCCGGCCCTCCGAGCGATATGGTCGAAGAATGCGACGACTCGGAATAACGATTTTGAACCGCACGCCGTTAGCAATAAATTATTTTTAACTATTGCCTATTGTTTTTTTTATTATATTGTATTTCATAGGAAGGATTTATAAATCTGTGAACTTATCTAGATATATGGTGACTTTGTAGCTCCAATATTTTGGATGTTTTGTGCGTATATACCTATAATTGAATACTTACTCCGAATGTCCCCTCTATTTCAGTTTGATTTAGAATATCAAAAAAATTAAAATCAAAGTTGTTATACATACAGTCTCCTGAATACAACATTTCAAGTAGGTATAAAAACTACCTCAATATTATGGAATAATATTAATTTATGATTACTAATCAGAGGTGTGATCAACAATACCAAATAAAATAAGAAGCAAGTTTCAATTTCTTCCTTTATTTCTATAGAGATAGAAGAATCCATAATTACTGCTAAACGTTACAATGCGTTAAACGCTGCCACATAATCTGTGGATAAAGCGTTTCGTAATTGCATTGAGTATGCATTTCATTACTTATTTATACTGTCCAACAAGTATACAACAACACTCCTTTTTTTTAGTCGTTTAAAAACTGTTTGCTCTTTTAGAAGTCTATGTTCAAAAGGCAAAGCTTCAGAGTGAACTATGGGTCCCGCTAAAAACTTGAGACAAGCTAAAGCTTACTTATAGGTTGGTGATGGCCTATAAGGTCTATCGTGTATAAATTGGCCTTTTGTGGTGCTATTGGAACTTAGATCTGTTGCCCAATACAGAATGTTGCTAGAGTCAAGCAATTGGAAATTTTATTAAGGACAGATGTAGTGATTGGGCCTACGAAACCTAACAATACATTAGCGCCACCTGGTAGCCAAAAAATAACAAAGCGGATGAGTAGTGTTTCTGTCGCAGCCAGCCATCTTAAATAGCCATTCGACCAACGGCCTGAATTACTAGCCTTTTGTGTGTTTTTCATTCAGGTAATTATTTAGTAGGTGAAGAACTGAGTTGCTACCAGAAAGGTAGGTCAGGTTATATTAGAAATGTGAACTTAATTTACCACCACAATTAAACAGCTACTAAACGTGTTCTACGATATCATTCATTAGGCAGGCTGTGCCGTTGATTGAATGGCTTATTAAACTAGTTGCCTGCGGCATATCAACCTTTAGGCTACTTTACCACATAAGTAGTAAACTATTTCACAACGGCATGCCTGCTTATATCCTCCGTTAATGGCGCAATGTCGTTTAAAGATCATTTTAGGACATCCTTAAGATATTTACACTGAACAAACATGGACGAAAGCACAACATAACCCACTACCAATATAATTTCACAAAATAAACACTGGCCCTCAGTATTTACTTTGAAATAGCAGTTCAATATTTATATGGCCTTAAACATCACCAGCGCCATCTATTTTGAGCACTTGTGACTGTCACAACATTCTCTTATACTATACAAAAACTATAATGAATTGTGAGAGAACAGATCTTGCACAATTCATTGTTTAAATACCTTTCTATAGCTTTATTCACTTTTATTCGAAAGATAGTAATAATAATGGACGTATGAACGAGGAGGAAGATTTACCGAAGGTTTTAAACACTGAATATGCATAAGAACTATTTTAGACACTAAAATAATTACAAAATCGATTTAGTTACTATATATTTTTACATCAGAATAGTCAAGAACTTTAGTTTGAAATCTAGAAGACCGTCTAATTCATCGAGCGTTGTAATTTAATCATCTATCTGTCAGTAGCTAGCCCATCTACATTTCATAACAGTTTCAATAACTGTAAACTGGAAACAAATAGATTTATTGACAATAATATTAGACTACTCGTTATTAGGTACACTATTTCATTGCTTAATATTTGTCACAGCCGAGTTCTCAATATTATTCGAATTTGAACAAAACTGACGTACAGACAAGTCTCAAGACTTCTAGCTGACTGATAATGCTTTAGAATATTGATATTGTTAATGGCTCTTTAAAATCTAGTCAACTATCATAGTCATAGATTCGAAATAAAGCGCTAAATGGAACTATATTAATGTTTAATTATAAATGAGAGTTATCTACTTTCTGGTTTAGGTTTAGGAGGCTTAAACCCTTGGATTTTCTTCTTCTTTTTCTCCTTGCCACCGCCAGATTGGAATGTCTTCCAGCTGTCTACTCGGTTTTGTCGAGATTCCTGCAACAGTAAATTTAAATATTCTAAAGATATATTATACCTGCAGACTTACTAAGTGATATGAAAAATAATAGAATGACTGAAGTGCGATACGAGCAAGATGAAAAAAAGATAAGTCTAAAATGGTTAATTATTCTTGTTGTCATACTGTTTTGTATATTGCTATACTACTACTTAAATTCTTTTAACATGAAACAAGTCTTTACACTAGTTAACAATACATTGTCAACTTGGCAATTAAAAAGGCAATCTTTTGTAAGTATATCAATTAAGTAACAACAGAAGAACAATAAAACTTGGAAACGCTAGACGATAAAATAAAATCAATATAATTGAGATTAACTATATCGCCATAGTTTCCTATAGCAGGAACAAAAAACATGGTTAGATGCATTGTTTTGTCGATTTCGTAGATGCAATCTTAAGAAACATCTTTGTCATTAAATGACATAATTACGTGGATAGATTACAAATAAAAGAAAATATCTGCCTCTCTGCCATCACAAGATGGCAACCCAGTAACAATTTGTAGTTCAATAAGTAAGTAAATTATTTGCCTCTTTCAATTTATTATTAAAAAAAACTGTGATTTTGTATACTACTCATACTAAAAGATTGATCTACATAGAACGGAACTTACAAACTAGTGAAAGAGGGTTTTCACTAGTCTATGAGTTTCAGTACAAATATTTTTTTTTTTTAAAAGAGTAACAATTGTGTTTCTTTTTGTCCATTTGAATCTACACTGAATTAACAGACTTACAGGCTTTTATTCTATTTCGATGTTTCAAAAATACCAATTTATGGTCTAGTTGGAATAAATGATTTTGACTTTGAGTTGACTTTGACTTTATCTGCAACACTGCTCACTGAATAAATATGGTTACCAATTTGTTGTACTTTAAAATGCAATTACTATACCTCAAAATTCTTTGCCCATTCTTTTTCTAATGACTTCTGTTCTTCTTGCTCAATCTCAGCTTCTCGTTTCCGCTTCCTTTCCTCCATATCACGTACTTCGAGATGTTGACGCTTTCTTTCCATGTCAGCAAATAACTAGAATTATTTTATAAGATATATAGCTTACATATACAGTTATTATTTAAGGCATAGCACATTGATATTATATCATTCTGATCACATCATCACAAAAATCTATATTTCAAAACACAGTTTTTCACATAAATTAACATACTCATCAGAGTATGTTAATTTATGTTTGTATGCCCACATATGTATAAGTACCCATGACACAGAAGAAAATCATAGTAAAAGGCTGTATTTTCATGAAATAATAAATAAAGAATGATAAATATATTAACTAAAAATCGCGGGTTACTCACGTTTAAATATTGAGAAAAGCTCTACTAGTTTCGAACCACAGAGGTGTTCTTCCTCATGAGCAGCGTTCGTGGACGCGGCGACGTCGCGCAGCCTACTGTGAGGAAGACTGTACTCATGAGGAAGAACCCCTCTGTGGTTCGAAACTAGTAGAGCTTTTCTCAATATTTACACGTGAGTAACCCGCGATTTTTAGTTAATTTAGTATGTCTCAGATGATTATATTGTTGACTAATCATCATCATAGATGACTGATCTAAGAGATCATTCTATCTGTGAATGTGGTTTGGAAGAGGGTACTCTGGAACACTTATTTTTTTCATGTCCTCGCCTGATCACCCCTCTTTATGATCTCCTCCCTAATGATATCCCCCGTCCAATAAATATCCCATTCCTATTAACCCTAGTCCATTCCCCCATGGTAAAGATCCTATACAAATTTATCAATATAAATCACATCCGACTTTAACACTTGTCTTTGTACATAGTCTTTTACATTTTCCTTATTATAACATATTCCCTTTCCTTATTCTTCATTTAGTTTTAACCTAAACATCTACTTTCCACTCCCCTTCGTTTTGTGTCTTAACCCTTGTGTCGTTAAAACTAACAAATTGTTTTGTCCTTTTCCAGCACTACAAACATCACTGATTACCGGTCATTAGTTACCTACATTACTTTCGTTTTTTTTTTTACACCGATCACAGTGTCATTTCCTACCTCGAAGTTGGCAAAATCTTCGAATGACGAAGGAGCCATAAACAAAAAGAAGAAGAAGAAGAAGATGACTGATCAATGATGACAATGTGTTTTTGTCTAACATAATTCATAAATAGATTCATATCATGTTTTGTTTATCAGTTTAATTTTAAATACATTTAAGAAATATTTATTAGGATTAAATTAGTCACAGTTTGTTATTAACTATCATCAAATAATTTGGTAATAGCCTCTTTACATTAATATAATATCATTATTTACCAAGGTAATGGATTATTTAAAAACAATGTAATGGCAAAATAAAGCATTTATGGCAATTTATAATTCCAATTAAATAGTGATTAACATAAGAATTATTATTATGAATCACCTAATAAGTAATTTTTTTTTTTTGATTGATAAAAATTGCCATTCTTTAAATTTATTGTCTTAAAAATACTGGTAATATACTTATAACATACCTTCATGGTCATAACATAAATTGCATGTTTGTATTTTACAGGATCATCTTCTGGTATACCTTCTGCTAACTTATTGTCCTTTTTCATCTTTTTCCTTTTTTGTTCAATCTAAAAATATATGAAAGTAACAATTAGTATTAAAATGATTCCATAAACTATGCCACAAAAGGGGATCTATTATTAAGACACACTACATTTGCTACATAAAATTTATTTACCATATGATCAGTCCTTTCTTTAGCCTCTTCACAAATGTCCAAACACTTTTTCCTAGTATCATCATTCTCAAGTGTCTTCCAAGCCCTGTTTACAATTTCAAAAGCCTGTTGAGCTCGTTCAGAATCATCCTGCAAAATAACAATAAAACAAAATTCACTCTCTATGAATTCAAAGTAAATTTGCATTTGTCTGGTACTTTATTGAAGGAACTATCCATCTGATCATATTTTAATTTTGTAATATTTTCCATTACTTTGCGTTTTGATTGCACCAATGTTCCGGTGCTTCTTACCTATTTCTGGATGTGTCAGGATGTCCCACCGGTTGATCATATCTGTGGATGAAAACGGAATGTTGACGGACATATCCGTCTAAACAAATACGTAATCTCCTGACATGATAATTGAATATTTTGTAATTTAACTAAAATAGGGAGTATTTTTTTTTGCTAATTAAACTTAGTTTAGTCAATATCAACAGGTACTTTCCTTTAAGATGGTATATATTAGTAACAAGATTATATAGCTACATAAAATAATTTAATATGCAAAGTGTAGCCTCACAATTAAGTTAAATATAAAATCAAAATAATTGTCTTACCATATTTTTGTCCGGATGTACTAATATGGATAACCTTCGGTATTTCTTCTTGATCTCATCAAGAGAGGCATCAGGCTCTACTTGTAGTACCTCGAACGGATTAAGATTAAAATACGTGGACCCTGGTCGTAACAATCTATCAAGTTGCTGTTTAGGTGTCAACACAGAGTCCCGTTTTTCTATTTCTTTGACCTGTAAATCGAGTGTAAGCACGAGTATAATAGTATTCAATAAACTCCGCATGGCAATTTTTGCTACATGTATACAAACTGCAATATTTACATTACATTTGATAGATTATCTAACAATAACATGTAACTAATTATAAATTATTGGCGAAGTATTATAAAAGTAAGTAATGAATAAAGCACTACTAGTAATAACAATCATACAAATACGGACATTTACAAATTAAAGACTCACCTCAGTGTAAAATTCGTCGAACGAATCCGACTTCGCGGCAGATGCTGCGGACATTTTTGCGTAGTTTATCCCTTTAACATGTAAACTATTATCCGAAACCAACTGTAGTGATGGTTTGAAATACAAAATGATATTACTACCAACTAAGTTTCACGATTAACATTTCACAATCCACTTTACACAATAAAATTAGTATTGGGATTGGGCATTGACATTCGCTTCATAGAGTTTCGCAAACTAAAATAAATTTATAAAATAGTAGAGTTGCCATACGCAAAAAAAAATATGTCAGGGACTACGGAAATAAAATACATTATTTAAATATATATATAAATAGCATCATAATTTCATATTTAATAATTACATCTAAATGCAGACTAACTGACCACTAGTGCTAGTAAGTAGTATTTCCGAGAAAGTGTCAGACAAGAGGCTGTGCCACACACATGACATGTTTAACTCGACGGTGCCATTAAAGATATCCACTATATAGTCATTAGTTATTCTCAGACTGCACATCGTTAATAATTAATTACACCCTGCGATGCGTGTTCACTTCACTGATACCTGTAAACGGCCCATAGGGTAATTAAGCTTCGGAATGGGCCTTGTCTTGCTTTATTTTTGTTCCGTCCTCTATTAAGTCAAAGCTTATTTAACTAAAATTCGCGGGTTACTCACGTGTGAATGTTGGGAAAAGCTCTACTAGTTTCGAACCACAGAGGGGTTCTTCCTCATGAGCAGCGTGCGCGGACGCGGCGACGTCGCGCGTCAGTAGGCTGCGCGACGTCGCCGCGTCCGCACATTCACACGTGAGTAACCCGCGAATTTTAGTTAATTTAATATGTCTCACGATAGTTATTATAAAAACAAGTCAAAGCTTGCTCAATTTTTAGTATTCTCTATCATCATGCTTATATCACCTAAATGCTCAACAAAAAAACTTGACAGTCTTCTAAATAACTTCATTCGATTCGTCCGACTGCAGGAAAACCGTTTATTTTTCTTATTTCCAAATTATTTTCTTAAAAATCTTTTTGGTATATTATAACAAACACTACATTCTTGCATTTGACTTTATGGTTGGCGCGGTGGCTAGGCAACTGGCTGCGGCGCAACGTGTCACGGGTTCGATTAACTCCAGGAACTATTCTTTCTGACCCGTTCTTCTTCTTCTGTGATGGTTCACATACGGTATTGTTTTTTCGGGTCTGGGTATGATGTGGAAGTGAAATTGTATGTTTGTAAATACAACTACGACACAATACAATTATTAAAATCCTAATGTGGGGCAAAGTTTAAAAAAAATATAATAATATTTAAAAATATATATTAATATTAGTTTGACTCTTGTTCCGAACCTATTGTAACAGTTTTCTGCATCGGTTTGCGGTTTCTTTGCTTTGGAATGACTGCCGTAATACAAAAGTGGTAAAAAGCTGTAGGGCCATTGAGGGAAGAAACGAAACGTCGGTTGCTGTCAGCTGTCAATTTGTTTCATTCTGTCATTCTATGTACTGTCACATCTGTCACTTGATCACTTCTCATCTTCTCAACTTCAGTGAATCAGCTCGCAGTGCCGGCTTGCTTTTCCGTATTTTAAAGATACATAGTATCTGCAAGTAGTATTTATTATAAAGGACTTTGCTTCAGGGCAGCGATTACAAAGTTTTTATATTATATTGGCGACCAACGCTAAGAAAGAAGATTTCAGCGATTAACTTGAAAAGTAGTAGGTAACTATCTGATATCTGGTTGAACTTGTTTGCATTTTTTACGTCGAAAAACATCGCATACGGACGTCAAGAAGTGTTATGATAAAGATTTCTGCCAAGTTGTCTCGTGATTGTGTACTTTGTTTCGTAAGATATTAGGTTTCCTTTTTTTCTTGACTTTTTGTGCTTAACATCTGTTACGTTAGTTTTATCGCAGACATGTTGTATGATGATGATAAGGACTTTATTTTGTACATATAGTAAAAAAAACATATATTTAGTACTAAATGGTTGTTACCTAATTAAATGACAATACTGTGGACAGATGTAGGGGCCCACAGTGGTTGTTTGTATATTTTGTGTATTTTAGAGTTAGTTAATATTCACTAAAAAATTGTGTTACAAGTTATATCATCATCCGCAAGCATTACTCATCTTATTTGGACAAAATGACAATATAAGTTTGAATAATGAAACATAAAACACTTTGGAAAACCTTAAAGAATGCCACAAAAGTTACGGAGTTATAGTGGCCACTGGTATAAACAAACTTACATTGACTCACCTTAGACATCATTGGAGTGATCTAGAATTTAAAAAGCATAAATAAAAAGTCACAAATATAAGAGGTCAAGGTGAATATAATTGATAGTTCTGTGGTTACAGCTTAGTATAATATAATTCTATAAACAACAGATTTGTGGTTGTTCATGTCAAAACCTCTCGAGCTAAATATTTGTATGTTCAGAAATATTGTATTCGACAATAATTGGGCCTGTTATTTATTTGGATGAGATGTGAGACAATATAAGTTACTAAGCAGACAAGCAATGATAAACAAATCAAGCACTGAAAAAAATAAAACCATGCAAAATTGGATATAAGCTTATGCTGGAGTTGAAAATAAAGTTTTTTTTTAAGTTTTACTGTGACAGTACATCTAACAATTGGAGACACTTTTATAGGTGAAATATTGTATTAATGGACAATTTTCACATGACTTACCATAGAAATAACAAAAATCAGTCATAGTTGAACAAAGTTTAGAATATTGTGAATAATATTACAAAAATGGAACTTTATGAATTTATTTAAAAGAATAAAGGGCCAAAAACACTTAATTTTTAAGATAATGTATTTAACTTTAATAGTTTTGAAGTTATGTGGCCGCCATCTTATAATCAACATTTAAATGTAATGGAAAATATTTGGAACTTAATAAGTCATGAACTGGCAGACAAAAATGACCCAAAACTAGAAACTATAACTGAGACCCTCATAGTATAAGCCCATACTTATATCACCAATGACGATTGGGACAAAGAAATCAGTCATTTAAAACAGAGAGAGAAAAAGAGAGCAATAATACTAGGAAAAGAGTAGAATGAAGATGGTAACAACTTAATTTTAGTTGAAATAGGTTATTCCTAAAAGAAGGGTGAAGTTTTCCTAATTACAAGTTTTAACAGAAAATATCAGCAGCGAAGATGGCGATGAAAAAGATTATAATGACAACAATGTTGTCGACACTAATTTACAAAATGGTGTAACTTGAAGATATAGATTGGGTTACAGCAAAGATAGCTGTCATCATTACTGTTCAATCTTATTTGGACTACATTGTATTTGGATGTTTGATTTTTATTTTCATCTTTTAATTCGTTTTAATTTTCAACATTTTCCTGTTTTATGGGATAAATTGGCGTAACGAGCTGACGGATCACCTATTGGTAAGCAATTGCCGCCACCTATAGTAACACCAGAAAAGTTTAGACAACAATATCGAACTAGGCAACATATCCTATGGATTGTCATTTCAGTAATATCACATAGCTAAACACAATGTAAGTATTGTTTAAAGTCGGTTATCTGGTGGTGTCGCTTCGGTCGAGCCGACCTTTCCGTCTGTCTTACAACTTTTAATTTCTATCTAAATTTCGTACGCTTACAATGCTATTTTGTCAATCAGGTAATCCGCACCATGTTTGCAAACAAAGTGGTACTGATAACCGGCGCCAGTTCGGGAATCGGAGCAGAAACTGCTCTAGAATTTTCAAAACTTGATGCCAAATTGGTGCTTACAGGAAGAAATAAACAAAATTTAGAAAAAGTTGCTAAACAATGTGAAGGAAATTCACCAAGCAGTTTAAAACCTCTGATTGTAATTGCCGACATGAATGTCGAAAGTGACGTAGAGAACATTATTAAAACTACTATCAACGAATTCAAGCAACTCGATGTCTTAGTGAACAATGCTGGTGTTCTTGAATCTGGTTCCATAGAAAATACTTCACTCGATCAATACGACCGAGTGATGAATACTAACGTCCGAGGGCCGTACCATCTAACAATGTTAGCTACTCCTCACCTCATCAAGACTAAGGGAAATATTGTTAACGTATCTAGTGTGACTGGCTTACGATCTTTTCCAAACGTTCTTGCATACTGCATGTCTAAATCTGCTTTGGATCAATTTACGAGGTGCGTAGCTCTAGAATTAGCGCCGAAAAGCGTTCGTGTTAATGCGGTGAATCCTGGTGTGATAACAACGGGAATTCATATGAAGTCTAGTATGAATGAACAAGAGTACGAACAATTTATTAAGAACTGTGCGCAAAGTCATGCCCTGGGTAGAGCTGGTGATGCAAAGGAAGTTTCATCAGTGATTGTGTTTCTTGCGAGTGACGCTGCTAGTAACATGACTGGTGTCACTATCCCAGTTGATGGGGGACGCCATGCTATGTGTCCACGATAGATCTTCGAAACTAAGAACATAAATATGTATTGTTTGTACACTATTGAGAATATAAATATTATAAATAAATATATACATTGTTTAATCACGGTTTTATTTCTAACCAAATCGCCGAGGCCACCTTATCGCCTGTTGTAAAATTTGGATACCTGATGATAAAAAAAATGATCTCTCTGTAATAGCCGTGGATAGAGAATTTATATAAATCTTAGGATACCAATACGCTGACTTAACTTCTTGCGAACATTGTTTCACTTCATTGTTGCACCGGTGCTTCACGACAAGCAAGTTGTCGTAGCTGCATTTGAATTAGAGCTGCCCACTTCAAACACCGGTCGAACCCACTTTGTTAGTTTCTCTAGAAAACTAGCAGTGGAATGTGTAACACTACCTGAATCCGAATAAACCCCCTTTTCTTTATTGAGAACAAAAATGAGAAATAAAATATTTTGTTTGTTTTGTTTAACTTAGGTAACCACCATGTTCGCCAATAAAGTAGTTCTAATCACGGGAGCTAGTTCAGGCATTGGTGCAGACACTGCTGTTGAGTTTTCTAAGCTGGACGCAAAACTTGTTTTGACAGGAAGAAATAAAGAAAATCTTGAGAAGACTTTACAAAATTGCGAAGATGTGTCACCAAGCAAGCTCAGACCAGTATCTGTCATTGCAGACATCGTTAATGAGATGGACGTTGAAAAGTTATTGAAACAGACGATAAATCATTTCGGACAACTTGATATCCTGATCAACAATGCCGGTATAATGGGAGTGGGGTCTATTGAGGCTACTTCTCTTGATCAATATGACAGAATAATGAATACAAACGTACGAGGGCCGTACTACTTGACTATGTTGGCTACACCACATCTTGTTAAATCTAAAGGAAACATAGTAAATGTATCTAGCGTGGCTGGCATCAGGTCTTTTTCTAACGTTCTTGCGTATTGCGTCTCCAAAGCTGCGCTAGATCAGTTTACAAGATGTGTGAGTCTAGAGCTTGCCAGTAAAGGAGTTCGAGTTAATGCAGTCAATCCGGGTGTGATTGATACTGGCATACACTTAAGAGGTGGAGTCAGTGAAGAAGATTACGCAGCGTATTTGGAAAAATGTAAGGAAACACATGCAATAGGAAGGACAGGAACTACTAAGGAGGTTGCGGATGCGATTATATTCTTGGCAAGCGAAGGTGCTAGTAACATTACTGGCGTAACACTGTCAGTTGATGGTGGTCGCCATGCCATGTGTCCTCGATAAAGTAATGGACCAGTAAACATTTTTTCCTTTGAATATAAATAAATACTTTAGACGGGTATACAAATACGGGTGCTATCATAAAAACTACTGTTTTATAATGTTAATTGTTACTGTTATACCTATGTATATTGATTTAGTGAATAAAGTTTTATAGTATAAACATGTTTTTTTTTTTAAATTTTAAATAGGGAGCTAGGCGAAAAAAAATCTTCTGTAGTTGTGGTTTGAGTTAGATATTTATTACTTTAAAATCAATTTTCAAAATAGCTTTTAAGCTGTAGGTTTGCCAGTTATTGCGTTAAAAATTCCAGTTGCTGAGCAGCTGCCAACCTCGACGATGATCTTTCCAGTTTGGATTCCAGTTTGAATCAAACGTACTCCAGCACATACGTCAAGTGCAGCTGGCAATGAGCTTATTCCAATGTTAATGCGTCCGACCTAGAAAAGGAAAAGATTTAATTTTCTTTTACCGTTACTTTAGAACTCTTTCGATAACCGCTATTTACTACTCGACCGATGAGGCATAAGACAAATGACAAGACATAATGGGATTATAGTTTACATATGTATAATAAATATAATAATTTTATAGTGCCAAAATATGAAAGTTTGTATATAGGGGGTTATCTTTAGAACCGCTGGTCGGATTGCCAAAATTCTTTCACTTATAGACAGCTACAATGTTCCTGAGTGCTATAGGTTATAACACATCACGCTACGATCATTTGGAGCCGATCAGCTAGTGTATAATAAATTAGGATATGCAATTCAAATGAGATAGACGACGTAGAAATGGCTATTCCGGTAGATATCAATTATATTCTCTCCGTAGACATGATTCGGTTCGGTTAAACATAAAATAAATCTAAACGTACTTATATGATAAGGGAATTATACATTATAACTCGGAATAATTATTTACTTACCGTCATAGCAGATTGGCCAAGGAAACCAACAGATTTCATCTCAATCTTCACAGCGACTTTAGCAAGGCAAGTTCCAACAGTCAGTAAGTTTGTGTTATTCGTAGTACATTCCTTCATGTCCTCCATTGCCTGATTGCCCGCAGCTACCGCCTCTTTGGCTATTGTCATCAAGTAGCTGATTTCCTTAGAGACATCACTAATTCTTTCATCTACGCAAACCAATGTACTGGACAGAGTTTCGTTGAAAATCGATGCAGCAACGCTTCTATGAGACTGCAAATTAAGATAATTGTATTATATAGATAGGTACCTAACTAGGTATCGTATCCCTGTGTGGGCGTCGGACTTGAGGCGGCGGCCAGCTCGTACGCTGGTCGCGTCCCAGAAGGTCATGGCTATCCGGATAATCCGCGGATATCGCACGATCTCCAGGGAGGCGGCGAACCTCCTTGCCGGATCACTGGAAGCGAAGGCTCTCGCGCGCGTCTACAGTTTGCAGACGCGCGTCACCGGGGCGAGGATCCTCTGCCGCGCCAAATTAGTGCGTGGCGGAATGAGCTCCGGCGAGATCTCATGGCTGAGTGGAAGCAACGACTGTCGCAACCGAGGGCCGGGCACAAGATTATTTACAAAATGTAGGTAAATAATCTTGGCGTGACTTTTTGTCTTAAAGTGTCTATTAATGGTATAAAAATGTTTACAATATTTCGGACGGCTCGGTTAAACACCAGCTAGACACATTAGAACACATTGAGAGACCTGCCAAGATCGCTTCATAGTGGATATTCTAACCACCTCGTTCGCCTCCAATTGTATGATATGAATAACCGCTAAGGAATGGAATCCTTGCAAGATTCTATGATCCCGAAGGGTATAAAATAGGTGACTTCAAGGCCCTAGTGAATAGGTTGCTTAAGGGTAGGCGTGCTCCATCTTAGGTTGCATCGTCGCTTATACCTACCTACGTTAAATGCAAGCCTATTACTAATTAAAAAAAAAACAGTATTTACCTAAATCGATGTTAGCCAATAAACTGAATTTAAATTACGACCTTTTTAATATGAAAAGATATACTAAGATTATTTATCCTTAAATAAATCACCTAAACCGATAGACCATAAGTAATATCTAATCGAATAGCCTTTTGGATACTGGAAAATATTTATTTAAGCTTAACTCATTCATCCGTGTACTATTCGAATAGATTACTTAGGTAATCAGGTTTACTTACATCCACACACTCCTTGACGGCTGCGTTTGTATTAGAAATCCTATGCATCACATTTTCAACAGCTTCAGTCACACGGTTTCTGAATTTCTGCACATCAGCTACGATTTTGTCTCTTATCGCCAAAGCTTCGTTTTTGATACCAGTATTGAAAGTAGCAACGGAGTCTATAGCTTCTTGCCCGGACTTGCGAAGATTGTTCACGAGCTCTTCAATAAGTTTGCTGGAATTTACAAAAAGAAACTGTTGAAGAATCAATGCTAACTTGAATTGATTTTGTCATCACCTATTTGTGTTGAGGGATAATCATCGAATGATTTCACTAACCCAGGGAATGGCGAGAGGGAGCGTCAGACTCTTACTGGCCAAAAAACCACCGTTCCGTCTCCTGCTCTAGGCCGAAGCCTCTGTACCTTATAGGGCCCCCGCTACCCCGTGTAAACTCGTGTTTGTGTAAATCGGGTTAGATACCTACATATACCTTGGTAATTTTATCTAAATATGTTCTAGTTACCTTGTATCAGCCACCAAGTTGACATCCCGTTTAAGTTGTTCAATACCCGCCACTTCTGGGGTTGCGAGCGCCGAACACACCTGTTGGTAAGAAGTAACATATGGAGGTAATTATTAGATAAACAACAAGAAAAAGTTCTCAGTGGGTTAAAAGACCAATCTGATAACCATCGTTATCATAGCTGAAACTGCTGGAAGTTGGTAGTTACAGGTTTTGTCAATACAAGCTCAATTCATAGGTACTGTAGCAGCTGTTAAGGAAAATATAGTTAGGTCAAAACCGAGTTCTTATAGATAAAAAGTCTAATATAGGTAGGTATTTAAGTACCTACCCACACAATATAGGTACATACGCACAGCAAGATAAATAACCTTCAAAAAGTTTCCTTTGTTCTTCACAAAGTTAAAGAATCTAATATCTTACCACGGCCAAAACACACACTAAAGCGAACGATTTCATGGTGAATTTCACGAATATTTACGAGAACACCAAATGATCTGATGCTGAACGATAACATCCCTATGGTTTTTATAGTACATCTAGTAAAACATTGCGACTTATTTTGCCATAGAACAAATACCATAATCTTATCTTAATATGTGTTTAATATTTAAATGGCTTAAAATTTTATTGTTACTCAATTTAAACGCTATTTGCTTGTTTGCAATCGATTGCAACAGTTTCGTGGTCGTATGATTAAAATTAGAGCTCGGAGATAAACGTTAACAATAGTTAAGAATGCTGTAAAATACCGCTATCTTTTCGAATTTGCGAGGGTGAGTCGTAGTAAGATATTCTACTGTGTAAATTGTAAGTACCTAATTTTTCTTTAGGTATTTCGTAATTTATTGTGGAGAAATTAGGTTTATTTTTGTACCTAGGTACAAAGGACATGTTCAATACTTACCTAGTCCCTTTTTTGTGAGAGAAAAATCATCAAATGACTTCTCTCGCCCAGGGTGAGGCGAGAGGGATTGTAAAAACCTCTCCGATTCTTCTCCTGCTGTAGGCCGAGGCTGCGGTGCCTTATTAGGTACGCTTCCGCCGCAACACCCCGGCTGAACATCACCCCTTATAGGGCCCCGTCTGTGGTGGTCTATTGGCTCAAAATGGGTACCTATGTCCTAGAGTTCAATAATTTCAGTTTCCATGACCAAATATGTAGTTTTGCAATAGCACCTAAAATTAGGCAGACAGAAGGACCGTATATTCCTAATAAGTTAGTTATTGGACTTTTAAAATAATTACCATCTATCCCTATATGTCATGAAAAAGCCTAAATTTAAACGTTTATCATGTAGGTACGCACTTACATCCTATTTAATTTTATTATCATGCACTGTGTAGGTACCTACGTAGTTACTACATATAGGTACCTCGAAATTAATTTGTTTCTTACAAAATACCCTAACGTGCTCCGCCTCCTCCTTTGCGATCATCACTGCTTCGCAGAAAGAGGAGACGGCCACCCAGTTTCTCTCGCTCTGTACCATGATCTAGAATAATCGCCGATCAATCCCCTAAGGACACAGTGTCGGTGCTCAGCCCAGGCAGGGTACACCGCAACCGTATGTTTCACCGTGTTCTCCGGGTTGTCCTCTCAATGAAAGAAAGAAAAAAAAAGAAGTACATAGGTACCTGCGTCAGTCGAAAGGTGAGGACGTCATGGCGTCTCTCAAGCCACTCCTCAAAGAGGGGGTTTACCGCTGCTATAGCTATGACCTATGTTTTATTCTAAGGGTAGGAGAATGTAGCTGGATATTGAATAATACCTTAATATCGAATTAAACTAAAATTGTCAACCACATAAAAAAGAAAATTGTGGCCTTCGAAATTCAAACATTTATTTTAAACAACATTGTTTTTAACGCTTGCTATAAATGAGTTACAACGCAATCCGTTCCGTAGATATCTCATATTGATGAAACAATTACTTGACGAATTCTCAAGGTTTGTCAAATAAAAAATTTTTATCGCGTATCGCATAAATTATACTTATTACTGTACGAAAGACAGAGTTAATATGAAGAAATATTTACTTACCTTTATGCCTACTATATTCAAATGTCAACAAACCTTAGATCTGTAGTGCTTAGTTCAGTGACCTACATTTATCGAGAATTCTAGAATCTGTACCTACCTAGCTTTATTAGGGCGAGTCGTAGGTGTATGCCTTGATTTCTTTTTACACTGATATTGATATTAAAGATGACTTACAAAGAAAGAACCTATCTACTTAATACATAATGAATTTCGTGATTCCGTGACCTAATTTATGTAGGTGTTATTGGAACCGGTTTTTCAATATTGTAGACATTTATTACAGTCACGATGTTCAGACAACGTGTCTGTAAATTTGAACAGCATTGTAGATAGTGATCGGTATGTAGGTATTAAATTGCTTACTTATACAATTATGTAGGTACAGTACAACAGAAAATAAAAAAGCTAGACTGATTTTTTATGGGGTGAAAATCATAAAATAACATTTTGCGATTCAGATTGCAGATTCTTACTGATTAAAAACCATTCCGCTCCTTCTCCTGCTTCACACATTTTAGTCCCTTCTGTCTTGTTAAAAACCTGATATCGACATTCTAAGTAGATGTGATAAGAGCCCAATAGAACAATATATGTTATGGTGCCAACATACATACTTAAAACAAATTATAAATTGTTAATTGTCCCTTACATTCTGTTGACCGAGATAGCCATGAGGTATGTTCTAATTGTGAGGAGATTATGTCAGTGGGTAATTGTTTATTGAGTTTGCCCCAATTATATCTGCCCTGCTTTGTTTCAAGGTTGGCAAATAATCAATCTTAAAATATGTAGTTAGATAGCAGGGTTTTGCATACGAGTTTGTAATTATTGAATAGGTATCTAATAACGTTGGGTGTGTGGTAAATGCACGTTTACATCGATCATCTTCTTGCTCTTCCAGAGACTATCTAAAAATCAGAAGTTAATTAACACTTAATACACACGTAAAGTATACTTAGTACCTAGTAGGGCTCTGTGATAAGATCTTCATCCAGTGTGTTTTTATTTGTACCGTTTGCAATCGACGATGCCGTTTTCCATCAGCTCGGCGGTAAGCGATGATGCAGTCGACGATTGAACGCGCCTGCCCATAACCAACCTAGGTACTTACTTGTGAATCAAGCTTTGAAGACAACAAGGAATCTCACAGAAAATACAGCCGTAGCTTACCAACGCAGAAACTCTTAGGTTCATGTATCGCAAGTTCGGAACGGAGAAAAAGAAAGAATTAATGAATTTCGCTCAATAACAGTCTGACACTCTCGTCCCAGTCACCAGATAATTTTCCTGCTTCAAAAAAAACACTGGATTATCACGGCCAGTTGATATTTCTGCGCAAAGAGCAGTTCTATTTTGTTCAAAACCTAAGCGCCTGTCTTAAAATTTTAGCAAACATTTGTCAAACGTATCTTTACTCCATATTTTCTAGGCGTGCAAATACCTTATTGTAACTTTTGTTTAAAATAATGTTATAATCTGGAAATACATTATTTAGTAAATAATTCACTTGGAGGAAAAATAAAGTTATAAATATTGCTCACTGAAATGTCAAAGCAATTAAACTAATATTATGGTTCGAATACCTAATACCATACCTAATACTAGGTTTTGTAATCAGGCGATAAATTGCAGTGTGATTCCGAGGTTAACATCAATATTAAAGTTCAGGATCTGCTTATTAAATACGAGTAATATATGATAGTTAAGTAATCCATGTAATAGCTATCTGTAGTATGGTATTAGGCATCTAGGACAAATGGGCGGTAAATCAATTAAATGGTCATGCATCTATAGTTTTCTATGTCTATTATATATTATATTCATAGTTAGGTACTTATTGATGTAATTTATTTAATCTATTAACTAAGAATATTAGTATAAGTAGTTACATGTTAAGAGATCACCTTCAGTTATTCATACAATGTGCCATGCTTTGCGCGAATGGGCCAGCTCAATTGTTACCACGTTTGCGTTGTATTTCGTCATTACGTCTGAGGTTACCGGAGGCCTAAATACTCAAACTTGTGGGTACACCTCTTAATTGCTTACCTTTAAGTGCTACCGTCTGCTTGTTTGCTAATTTACCCTATAAGAACGAGCGTCCTATTTCAAATGACGCACAGCTAACGCACAATTAGGTATACCTCTTCTGCAGTATTGTAGGTGTTCTGTCGGGGTTGCAGGTACCGCGTTCGTATCGACTCGGGGAAGGAGCAGCCACGTGATTTACCTCCACCAAAAAGCTTTGTCTATGATCCACACTAATTACTTAATAGGTAATCTATCTGCTGCAAACTGAAATAAGCATAACTGATAATTATTTTCGTAGAAGGTAGTAGATAGTGCAACTTCGTACATATCTTTGACCTTGTTTATGCGATTAAAATGTGTCGTAAAACTGTATCTATTTACAGGTAAATATTATTGTTTACTAGCAATCATCATGACTAACCGATCTTAGGTACCTTACCTATTACTTAAGACTTCAGTAGGCCATGGATTTCCACTCGTGTTAATTGTCATTTAGGTATTGTGTGAAGAAAAGGACAAGGAAAAGTGGAATGCTTACTTCACTAAACCATTCTCAGTGGCTATTATCTATATGTATATACTATAATATAATAAAGCTGAAGAGTTTGCTAGGTCGTTTAAAAGCGCTAATCTCAAGAACTACTGGGTTGAAATGAAAAAATATTTTTGTGCTTATTAGTCCAGTAGTATTTATTGACGAAGGCTATTAACATTACGCTACGATCTGAAGGAGCAGAGCAGCGGGTGAAAACGCGCGGGAGTAGTTAATCTAGAATTTAAAACGTATATACCTACCTATGCATATAAGAAAATATCAATAGAATACCAACAATAGGACAGATGTCTATACCAGTAAAGACTTTGTTCGTTTGACACCATTGTAAGGCTTACGTAAATTTAGGTACCTACTTGAGGTCACATTGTAAACTTTAACTAATAATTTTCCCACGGGCAAGACGGAATAGATACAGCTAATACAAATGTTTACAACGTTAAATATCAAATACCTACTACCCTACCTACAATACTACCCGAATTAATATTAAACAAATTATTTATTGCCGAATCACAGCTCATAATTTCTTGAACATTTCTGAGCCGTAAACGGAATCAGTGTTACGTAAGTGAACTAATTACTGGTTATTGAAAAGAATAATCAATATAAATAATTTAATCAAAGTACGTATAGTTTTAAAGTGTTGGTTTACTATTCTAGGACAGCAAAGTAAAGTTACGGGACACGGGACAATCTCGGAAATCCCGGCCACCTGGCAACACTAATAATAATATGAGCTTATTAGGTACCTATATAATAGAGTTATAGCTAACTACGGCTACACATTTGGGGGAGTGGCTGGGTAGCAACGTGTACCGGGTTTGATTCCCGCAATTAACTGGTTAAGAGAACAACAGAACTCTTTGTGTGACCCATCAATCGTTGATGCACACATCACAC